CAGCAGCAGCGTTTCCACCAGGCAGGAGAGTTGGGGTGAACAGGAGCTCCTGAGTGCTGGCAAAGCCACCTCCTCACTGCCCCAGCTTCTCCAGAGAGAAAATTCTGCTGCTTTCTCCCCATCTTGCTCAAAGCCTGACTCAGCAAACGCTCCTTCCTCTGCCGAGGTGAATCCTGCGTTCCAGGACCAAGGGGATTTCAGTTCTTGTTCCTCCTTTCCTCATTGTTTTTTTTTTTTTTTTTAATTTTTTTTTTTTCCCCACTCCTTTAAATTGCTTTTCCAGCAGCTGCCACACAGCTGGGATCAGGATGGAACATGTTGGGCTTTTACAAAACATCTTTCCAATGGATCTGCATTCAAAACAGGGAGGTGAGGAAATCAGATAAGCCAGGAAGTCCAGATGAACTGGAAGGGTGCATGGCCACACGATAATTCAACTGGTTAAATTAATTTGACTGTCCTGGAACTTCAACAGCTTGAGGACTGTGCATCTAATTTGCAGAGCTGACCCAAACAAGAGCTGTCTGGCTGTTGCTTAACAAAAGCCTGTAGCTCTGCTGCAGCTGCTGATTTACTCATTTTCAAGGAATGAGCTCATTTAGGAGAGTGTTTTCCGGCATCACTTCCCATTGGGCAACAAGTGGGAAATGGGGAAGGCTCCTCGTGACTGCAAAAAGCCCTTCTGAGATGCACTTCACTAAAAAACAGCACGTTTCTGACCCTGCCCACGGTGTCCTAGCAGCACCCAGCCCTGCCATGACTGCACATCAGCTACAGAAAAGGCTTTCCAACACCAAAATAACACCTGCTCCAAGTGTTTTCTTGGGGTTTCCCATCCTGAGCACGGCTCTGGTGCTGGACCCCAGTCCAAGGCAAGCCCTCAGGGCTTCACTGAAAAGCAGCAGAACACACAAAAATGCCACTAATTAAAGCCCCAAGCAGATGCTCCTCAGGATTTCTGAGAAGGGGACTTGGGACCATCCTTTATGTCTGCCAGGAGGAGGAGAAGGGCTGGGAACGGAGCCAGACCCTTGCAGGGGGACATGCCAAGCTGTGCGTTGCAGGAAAAAGGAACAGCGAGAGTTCTGGGAAACCCTAATCAAAGAGAAATTCTGCATGTTAAAGCAGGGACTTTCTGAAGGTCTCTTAAAGGCAGGATTATAAGGGAACGAATTAATTTTACAGCTTTTTTTAAAAAAATAAAAATAATACGTGGCACACTGCCCCTACACACCATTAAAGACAAACAAGTATGAAATTCAGGGAACTGTCACCAAAACGAGATTAGATTTCTTTGGAGTTATTTTCCTCCCCAGTGATGGGTCCGGAGATCACAAACCCCTTTCAGTTTGCTATGCCCTTCACAGGGCTGGAGGTGACCTCCTCCTCCTCCTCACTCCGGGGAGCCAGCAGTCCCAGAGCACACCCAAGGAGCAGACAGTGCCCTCCATCCCTGCACACCACGTTTCCACGTCCCACCTTCAGCCAAACCTCCCCGTTTCCCTGTCCCTCAACCCCAGAGCCAGCACCCACCCACCCAGCGAGCTCGCCTGGGGCACAGCTCCAACCAGAAAAAATGAGTTATTTTTTTATTCAGTGGGGTTAATTTTCCAGTGGCTGGAGGTGATTCATCCCTGCAGATGCAGGACGTGCCGTGCCAGGAGCGCACAGCTGTCGGTGGAGGGGGGAAGGCACTTCTAGCCCCAAGTTGGGCTGAATTAATCCGGCTGCAAAATGCGATACAACCGCGGGAGGTCGAATCCCGAGTGTCGCAATCCTGAAAAATCCCCCAAATTCAGTTAAAAATACTCACCCTGACCACCCTCCAAGGCCACGCCAAGGGCTGGGGCCCCCCACGCTCTGCCCGAGCCCACTCACCTGAAGCCCAAGAACAGCCAAAGCTTTTGAAAACAACCCCTTTGTTTCCGTCAAAACACACACACACAACGCAAGGACAGGAAGCCAAGCGTTTAACAATCCAATCCATCTTTATTTTGGTAGTACTTTCTGCTGGGAAAGGAAAATCCTCGCCTTTACAAGTACAGCCAAGTGGTAAAAGAAAGGCAAGTGTATTAAAATGAACTGCACGTGGTTCAACACCAGGAGGAGCATCAACAAACGTGGCACCTTCAGGCCCAACACCTTCTGCTTCTGCTACCAAAGCTCTGGATGTTGGCTATGCAAGAGACTTCACTCACTATACAGAGATATTTTTAAATAAGGACTTCTTTCTCGAGAATGTAAACAAAAAAAATCAAGACACATTAAATTCTCCATAGAAAAATACAACCTTGTAACAACACCACAAAGTAAACGCGTTTTCCAAGCTTTGGATATATCAGCTACTATCTCACAACAACCCTGCAAGGTAACTAAAACCATCACACCTGGGAATGGTGACCCAAAACGGGGTGGATTTGCCCCAAATCCAGCTGCCTTGGCTCCAGTTTATCTCCTCCAGCACAGGCTGTGTGCGTGCTGTACATGTGGGATTTGGCATGTCACCGATAACAGCTGAACAAAGAGACTCAACAATCACAGCAGCAAAGCTCTTGTGCTTCCAGGGGATCCTCTGGTTTAATTTTGCATGGTTTTTTTCCCCCTATCCTGGCGATTGCAGACACTGAGTGCCACTCTGAGAGACTTCTGACACAATACATTATGATGACAGCGATGTTTGGAGGTGGCATCTTACCCCCCACGCTGACACAGGATGTCACCACGCCAAAACGAGATCCCACCCAAGCACACAGTTAATTAAATGAGCCAAAATCTTTGTCCATGTAGCTGCACAAATACAGTGCCACCATCCCCTGGGTTCCTCCAGGATAAACAACAGCACCCAAATGAGCTCATGTGGCTGCTAACCCAAGTTTTCCTAAGATCCATCTGAAGGGTTAGAAAATATGGAACTATCTGAAACAGGATGGTGTCACCCAGACAGTACAGAACTATTTTACAGACCGTTAACTCTTAAGTTAAAGAATAAAATGAAGACACCAAGGCTCACAGGTCACACTGGGCTTCCATAAGTTCACGTGACAAGAACGCGCTGTGCACTGATGGACTGATGTGACACTTGGCTGACACACCACTTACAAAGTAAGAAATGTGGGACTTGGAGAAGACACGCTGAACTTGTCCCTGCCTACATGGGAAAGTACCAGCAGACAAAATCCTGGGTCCCACCTTTGCTCCAGATAAAGGAAAATGCTCAGGCTGGGAGCAACGGGCTGGGGGGGCTAAATAAACAAAACACCTGAATCTGGGGCATTTTCTTCTCTGACAGGGAAGATTCACCCCTAGAAGGTTCCACTGGAGCTGCAGTTCAGAGGCTGGTGCTTTTAATCCCACCCTGTGGCCTCTGTTTCACTTCCAGGGCTCACCAAAATGGGCAGAACCACAGGCTGTGGTTCCCTGGGGAAGCAAACGGGATGTCCCAGCTTTCTGCAGTGCTTGGGCTCACTTTTAACCACAAAACCAAAGCTGTACATTCGTGTGCAATGCACAGGCACAAAAGGGGAAGCTAATTGGTACATCAAGAGTTCACATCTCCCTACAGTGGAATAAGAAACTAATCAAAACAGGTTTTGGCTCAACAAAATGATAAACCATTATCAGACAGTTACACACATTATTGCCTGATAATTACAAACAGCTGAACCACAACTCCACCTTAACCCAGATTTTTGAGTTTTCACGAGAAAAACAAAAGATCTTTTCTAACTCTACTGTGAAGAGACACGAATGATATGACTTATGAAGCCAATGTCTCGCTATGAACACATCTCTGTTTATTTCAAAGCACAATGAACTGGGAGCAACCTTTAATTTCACCTTATAAAACTAAAAAAAAGAAAAAAGAAAAAAAAAAAGTGATGGTATCTTTGTGTAGAAAAACCAAAAAAAAAAATATATTTTCAACATACATCTATCATCTCTTAGGCTGAAAGATCACCTATTCTACTCCTCTTAGTGCTTCTGTGCAAACCAAAGGCACCATTCCTACGGGTGAGGCTGTGAACTGGGATCATCTGAGTTGGGGTTTTACGAAGGTGAGTGACAAGTTGCCAGGCCAGGACGAAGCAAAAGCCCCGTGTTACTCACTGACTGCTATCCCAACAAAGACAGAGATTAGGAAACACTGGTACGTGTACTTATGAATCCACTGGCAAGAAGGAGGAAAACAAGGACCGTGCCTGAGAGCAGCTGGCAGGACACATGTTGTCACACCCAAGGAAAGAATCGGGCTGTTTTTAATGAACACAAGGAACACTCACATCTCTGCAAACCCCGTGACTGCACAGTTATGTCTCTGTACTTTCACCAGGCAGGGGGAAAGGAACAGATCCCCTCTGTGCACCCCCTGCCACCCCCCCCAGCGCATGCAGGACAAACACCAGTGCCACCCACAACGGCAGCAGGGCTCAGCCACAGCTGCCAACCTGCAGGGGAAACGGATGGAAGTGCCAACAAGTGCCATGGTATGCCTGTAAATGAACATTTTCACGCTGGTTGGGCGCCAAGCCGAGCTCGCGGTGGAATTCAGGACCCTCTCTGCAGTGATGCAATCACTCTGGAGTGGGGTTTTTGGGAATTCAGGACCCTCTCTGCAGTGATGCAATCACTCTGGAGTGGTTTTTCCCCCTCCTCTCTTCTAAGCAGGTGCGTCTTCAAAGCATAAGCAGGGATGGCTGAGCCGGTGGAGGAGCAGGACCTTGCAGGGCTGTGTCTGCAGGGCCCCTCGTGGGACAGGCAGCCCAGCTGAGGGCACAGGGCACAGCAGGACCCCATGAACCAGCCCCACAGGGAAGGGATGCTCCAGTGGCCCCTGGTTTTGCTCAGATGCAGGGTCTCCTTTAAGACAGCCCAACCTCTGGCACCAGCTCGGCACGGGAGGGCTGAGGGAAGGCAGGTGGGAGCTCCTGCGCCAGCCACCAACACCAGGAGATGACCAGTGTCCTCTTGCCTGACACAAAGCAGGGGACAGCGAGGGGAGGAGGAATTCCAGGTCAGCTGGGGACGCTCACGCCGCGGCTGTGGCGTTTGTTCCTAAGGCCAGGATGGTGGGACACGCTCGGGGCTTCCAAACACGGTTCTCCTCGTCCTTCCCAGCTCCCATGTTTTCCAGGCACGTGCCCCAGCGTGTGTGCAGGGGATCACTGCTGGCACCAACAGGAGCTTCTGAGCAGATCTGGACACGAGGAGCTCAGAAGATGACTCGGTCCTCCTGCGTCCTCTCCCACCACAACGTGCTGTTCAGGGTGCCAAAGCTGCTGTCCTCCTCCTCCTGCTCCTTAGCCAGCTCCACAAACACCTGGAGCACATGGAGAGGACATGGATACCCCGTGCTCCTTGTAGGAACATTCCCAGTCACAAACACAACTCATGCTAAAGAGCTCATGAGCATTGCAACTATTGCTTAACCCCCAAAAGACTAAAAGCTTGGAGATGTTCTCCTTGCCTGTACCCTCCCACCTCGTTTCCTTAGAAGCACAGTGAAAAGGAAGTTGAACAAAAGGCACTGAATGACATCCATCATCAGCAATAATTAATCCAGAATAAGCAATAACAAGCCTCAGCTTCACCTTCCTTTCAGCCATGAGCAGCGACACCCGTTCTCGGAATAAATCAGAGCAGCTTTCCCATTAATGCCACAAATTTATTTCCTTCCAGTCACTGCAGCTGGCATCTTATTTGTAAAGGAGAAAATGGGAATAAAGAGGAGCAGGGGAACTGGCAACTCCTATTCACTTTGGAAAAGGGGAACTCAGTTTCCCAAAAATGCCCAAACAGGCATCAGCAAAGTGGCCCCAGTGGCTTGAAGGCCAGGCATGGGGGGTGAGCTGCCTGCACAGGGCCCTTCACCACAGAATCATGGAATGGTTTGGGTTGGAAAGGACTTAGAGAACATCTCATTCCACCCCCTGCCACGGGCAGGGACACCTTCCACCAGCCCAGGTTGCTCCAAGCCCCGTCCAACCTGGCCTTGGACACTTCCAGGGATGGGGCAGCCCCAGCTTCTCTGGGCAACCTGTGCCAGGGCCTCCCCACCCTCCCAGGGTGGGATTTCTTCCCAATATCCAATCTAACCCTTCTCTCTGACACCTTCACCTGGCAGGGTTTACTTCCACAAAACATAACTTAACATACCTGTTCCAGTGTTGCCTGAGAGAAGCTGTAGTCCTCGATGTTAAAGGTGTGTTTTACTGTGGAAAGAATTAATAAGAGCAGATTTGGGGGTACCTCACTATCTCACACAACTGGTTTTTAAGCTGGTACAAATGCTCACTCATTATTTCACAAAAACGAGTTGGGGACAACAATGATAAAAGAAAAGTAAATTAAATAAATGTGGAACAGAAATGGAGCAGTGACACTGCATGGCAAAAGTGTCACTTACAGGAGACAAAAGGATTTCTGTATGTGATCTATGGCAAGTGCTTAATTACCTTCTTCCAGCTTGGAAAAAGAATGTGAAAGCGACTGTACATCTTCTTTAGGAATCTTATAGGCCAAAATAGAAGCAAAACTGGAACAAAGAGACAAAACAAATTTAGCTTCAAGCAAAATCAAAGTAAAAATCTTAATATCCAACTGAACGGATTTGAACTCATTCCCTGAGCATTCCCCCAGGCATTTTGACTGGTCATGATCACAAAGACAGGAAGAATGATGCAACTCCAGCTGGTTTTTCACCTCAGAGATGCAGGTCCAGGTGCACCAGCTGAGATCCCCCGAGATTGTTCTCTGACTTGCATGCTCTTCAACCTAGATTCAACCATTCCTATTCTGCTTACTCATGGAAGATTCACTGCCTGGAAGTCCCAGAGTTCTGTGGTTTTTCCTTTGAAAAGACCTTGGAGGTCACACACAGGTTCTCCTGGAACTCTGAGACACACAGCAGTTCCCGCATCTCAGATTCCAGGACAGGGAGCTGCTCTGCCCCCCTTCCCCCCATCTGCTGCTGAAAAAGGAACTCTCCTTCCTCCTGATCCCCCCCACATTTGAGGAACACTCCTTATACGATGCCTGCAGTGCAGTTTTTGGAGACACTCATCAGCAGTCAGCGAGCCAGACCCTCGAGTTCAGAGGGCAGAGGTTCAAAGAAAGCTGTTGGTGCAAAACCAACCAGCCCACCCTCAAACTGAGATGCCCCAGAGAACACACAGGCATTTCTAGGTAAGGGCCAGTGACTCTGCTTTTCCCCTGTTCCCAGAGGCCCTGACCAAGGAGGAAGTTGTCAGGCCACAGCTATGCAGAAATCGAGTTTTGCTTCCCCCCGTGCCGAACATCTGCACAGGCTCCTGGCCCTGCCCTGGCAGCCTGAGCTCTGCTGGCTCCCAAAACCCTTCCTCTTTTTGCTGTGTGTAAATATTTACATTCCCTACCCGGTGCCAAGTTGCTGCTGAGAAAAATCAAAGGCTTTTATTAACATCGTTTTCTGCGTATTTGTCAAACTTCACCTTTCCTGGCGGTTGGCGTTGGGGAAGATGTGCAAGATCTGGCTCTGCAGATACTCCACCTGCTGCACATCTGCTGTCTCTTTTAATTTCATCTCCAAGAAGTATCCTCTGCCAAACTTACTCTTCAGGTGTTGGACAGTACCTATACATCTGGCAGGTGCAGAGAGAAGATACCAGTTGTACACGTGAGATCACACTCAAGGAGCAGCTGAACTTCAAACAGGCCCTTCTGGCAGTTGGAGATTAATTTTGTTCCAAAATTAGGGTACCAAAAAAAGAAAAAAAAATTGTCTATCTATATTTTCAAAGGAATATATTTTAGCTGATGGCTGTCCTGTCCCCCCTGCCCCAGGGGAGGCTCTTGGTGGTACCTGAGCTGCCCAGACACCAGGATGGCCACACGGTCACACACAGCATCTGCCTCCTCCATGTAGTGAGTGGTCAGGATTGCTGCTCTCTCCTTGTTTTTAAAGGCTGCTCGAATTGCCCTCCTACAAAACATAACCAAAAAGAAAAAAAAAAAAAACAACAAACCCTGAATAAAACATTTGGCAGGTAAATCCTGGATTAGCAGGAAAAGAAGACTGTGATGGTCCAACACTAACCCTCTAATTATGGGCTGACACTTCTCCCACAGCAATAATCAGCTCCTGAATCTTCCAAAGATGACTCAAATCTATACTCCTAGTATTATTTTAAGGATTTCTTTCAACTTTCAAGCTTTTAATCCAGCACCTCTGGAAGTGTCCAAGGCCAGGCTGGACAGGGCTTGGAGCAACCTGGTCTAGTGGAAGGTGCCCTTGCCCATGGCAGGAGGGTTGAGTGGATAAGCTTTAAGGTCCCTTCCAAACCAAACCATTCTGTGATTCCCTGTCTGTGGCTCTCCCTAGTGTTAACATGGATAATGCACCCATAAATTCAGGCACATTCCCAAGGAGGAAGCACCCTGGTGGCCAGCACGGCCCTGGGGGGGGCACTCACCACATGTGCTGCTTGGCTTTCGGATCCATCCCGGTGGACGGTTCATCCAGCAGCGTGACCCGAGGGTTCCCCAGCATACTGAGGGCAAAGCACAGCTGGCAGGGAGGCAAAGGGGCAGGGTGAGGGCAGGCTGGTGCTGCTGACACCCCAGCACAGGCGCTCAAGCAGACCCCATACCTTGCGTTTCAGCCCCACACCCAACTTCTTCGTCGTCTTCTGCAGGTGATCCTTCAAATCCAGGGCGCTCGTGATGCTGTGGAAGGGGCAGGACCAGAGAAAGGGTGGTGGTTCAGCTTCCGCCTCACCACAGGGTGCAAGCAGCCCCACTTGAAAAGCTCAGTCACAAATATTTGTACATAAAGCACAAAAAAAAGCAGAGCAACAGGCAGAATCGGAGGCGGGCGCTTCCGTACAAAAACCACCTGCCCCATGTCCTGGAGGAGCTGGTGGTGACAACCCAGGAACAGCTCCAAGCCTGGGACTCCCTGCCCTTGCAGCTTCTCCAAAGGTCATTGTTAGCACTTCCTAACTTTAAAGTGTATATATATCTATAAATTAGAAGTGCGAATTAAATTCTATATCACCTCATCTAAATATTCACACTTGCTGAATTTGCTGGAAAGATCCAATTCAATTTAAATGGGAAAAAAAAAAAAAAAAAAAAAAAAAAAAAAAAAAAAAAAAAAAAAAAAAAAAAAAAAAAAAAAAAGGACTGCATTAGGAAAGGTAGGGGAAAAAAAAAAAACCAAAACCACAACGCAAAAGGGCCAAAAAACCTCCAGCAGTAAACCTGAAAAAACCCCTAAGAAAAATCAAGGATTCCTAAAATGAACTACTCACCGTTTGACGACTTCCTTAACATCAGACTGACTCATTCCTTTGATAGCACCATAAATTTCAAAGTGTTCCTGCAGTGTAATATCTGGCCAGAGCGGGTTCGTCTGAGGACAGTACCCCACAAATTTCACTGAGTCATCTTCACTGCTCAGCCCCAAAGAATAATCTCCCATTAGAACCTGCGAGGAAAATGCACACACCTCACTCCAGGACGTTACACATTTCCAAAGTGCTTTTGCATATTGCACTCAGGAATGCTTGAAATAATAGTAATGATAAAATCTAAATTAAAGTTAATTTTTCATATAACTTGTAGCAGGTGACATACTTGCCCACTGGTGGGTTCAATCTCTCCAACGAGCATATTAATCAACGTGCTTTTCCCGGCTCCATTGGGTCCCAACAAACCCAGTATTTCTCCTAAAGAAGGGATGACACAAAGCCATTGCCTATGAGGTCAGATAAACGGATCCAAGAGTTGCTTTTGCACATAAAACAGCTCAACAGCAAGTCACTGAACTCCAACCTTTTTTTACGCAGAGAGAAACGTGTTTTGTTGCCACTTTCTTTATTTTTCTGCCCAGAAGGAATTCCTTCCTTTCATCAAACTCCTTGTGCAAGCTGCTGACCAGGATTGCTGGCATCTAGGAGGGGAGAGGGAGGTGGCTGCAGATCCCAGTAGCTCTGGGAAACCTCAAAAATGTGGGGTTTGGGCGGTGCCTGGGGGCGTGCAGGGGGTTTTACCTCCTCGCTTTTGGGGCTGCTCAGGATCTCTTTGACTCGCAGCCTCTCCGCCCTCACATCTTCATCCTCGTTCTCCTCGTGTGGCACGTCTGGGAACTTCCAGGTTCTGGCTTTTGTGAAGCATTTTCTGAAGTGGAAGAAAACGACGCTGAGCTTGAGCCTGGCTCAGGGATTTGATGCTGAGAGACATTTGTGTTGGCCAAGCCCAGGGGGAACAGATTCCTGCAGCTCATCCGAGAGCAGGAGGAGCTGTCAGGGACTGTCACCTTGTCACCTTTGTTGAGTTATGGCATCTCTGGTCACGCAATGGGAAAGGCAGTCCCCCTGTTTTTATACAGGGAGATGCTTACAAAGTTCCTGATTTTGCACTGATATAACTTTAAAAAAAACCAAAACCCTATGTCTGCCCTTCAGTGCCTGAATTTCACGCAACCAAAACAAATTTTTCAGACACCTGGGATGGAATATCATGGAAGTTATTGTATTTCTCCCACTGCATGCCCCAGCTTCTTTGCACCACTGCTTTAAGAAAAAAAAGACTGTTTAGAGAGACACACCTGAAAAAGGGATCCTCTCTGACCGTCCTCCCCCCGTTCTTCAGCTCGAAGTACCTCAGCAGGAAGAGCCACACGACACACTGCAAGTAGGGCTGAAGCAGACAAACACCACCCTGGTTACTGGGAGCACTGCCAGTGACCCTACAGGTGACCCCCACCAGTGTGATGAGGGACATCAGAAGCTCCTCCAGCTCTGCACCACCACACAAGTGCTGGTGTTTCCAAGAACGTTAGATACATCATTAAACACTGCTCAGCGGGGCTGAGGACGCACAATCAAAGTCTGCTCAGATTAAAAGGTAATTATTTTGGGGTTTTGGAGAGAGAAGGGATTGCCCCTGCTCTGGAGTACTTGCTCCATCAGCAGTGACTCCCACAATAATCAGAATTAATACTGACAGTGTTACTCAGGCCACTGAGGCAGCAGATGTTGAGCTTTACTGACTCTGCTCAACAGGCTGCAGGAGCTGCAGGCTCAGCAATGTTGAGCTCTAGATCAAACCTTTGTTAACAAAGATGTGAACAGACGGGGCTCCCAGCAGGAGCCAGCAATTCCCTAGGGAAAATAAGGCAGATAATGGAATTGCCATGCTCACAGCCAGAACTGCCACCAGCAGCCGGTCCCACGGGTCGTAGTATCCCCCACTCTTCCGTTTGCCTTTCCAGGAGACCTGAAAATTCAGGGAAAAAAACCCCACATAATCACCTACCAGAGACTGTGTATTTGATCTCCAGCAGCCATTTAAGTTATGGTGCTCAAGCACTTTCTGAGCTCTGCCCTGACTGCACGAGTCTGACACCAATAAAGCTCCATCCAAATCCCTGGGGTTGCTCCTGGTTTCAAACCACCAACTCCCAGAACCCATCATGGGGTTTTCTCACTGAGAAACACGTGGTTTTCCTTTGGATATCACAGAATCATGGAATGCTTTGGGTGGGAAAGAACCTTAAAGATCACCTCCTTCCACCCTCTGCCATGGGCAGGGACACCTTCCACCAGCCCAGGTTGCTCCAAGTTCTGTCCAACCTGGCCTTGGACACTTCCAGGGATGGGGCAGCCACAGCTTCTCTGGGCAACCTGTGCCAGGGCCTGCCCATCCTCACAGGGAAGAATTTCTGCCTAATATCTAATCTAACCCTACTCTCTTTCAATTTAAAAACATCCCCCCTCACTACATACTCTTCTCAAAAGTCCCTCCTTCATCTTCCCTTGTATGTTCCCTTCAGGTACTGGAAGGAAATTTAATGGAAAACTTGCTGCTTTCAGCATTTTAAAACTGAAAAATTTTGCTTAACAGGAAAAAGGTGGGTTTTTTTCCCCTACAATTGCTATTCTTCACATGTTAAATGGCTACAGATGACACACTAAAGATACTCCCTGACCCCAGCCAGCTACAAGTGCTCTGTAAAAGATCCCCTGTGTCCCCTTACCTTTATAAAACAAATCAGACAGCCAATAAGGGGATAAATAGGAATGAAGATGGAGAAGACATAATGCAGGATGGTGGTTACCAGGTAATAGTCCAGAAAAAAGGCCACTTCAGTGACAACTGTGCAGAGCAAGGCTGTCTGTACAAAAGAAAGCGGAAAAAAAAGTCCATTTTCATCCAGTTCAGACTCTCTAAGCATAAGTTAACTAATTTGAGGCATATTTTTTTTAAAGCTTTTATCATTTAGGATGTGACAGTAAGACAGAGACACTGGTAAATATTCCACAGTTCCTGTGCATTAAGGGCAGACAGCTAAATAAATGAACTGGGAAGATGTTGTGGTTTTGGAGATCACCAATCTTCCCTGTTATCCCGACTCGAGGTCAAGTTACTCACCACTGAAAATATAAATGACCAAAATTCCTTTGTGTTCTGGACTTTTCTAAAGGTGAAGGAGACCACGTAAGTGAAGAGCACGACTGAGGGGACGTAACCAATCAGGCAAAAAATCTGCAAACACAGGGAAAGCTTCTCAGGAATGTGCAGCAAGAATTCCTTGTTTAAGTGTCAACTGGAATTACTCTGGTGTGATACATAACTCTGGATTCATCTTTGTCACTTAATTTGATATATTTTGCTGCCTTGGTACATGTAATATTAGAGACACAAATGCAAGAGTGTGAGGAGAGGTAGGAGCTTTAAACTCCCTCCTTTAAACTCTTTCCCATTTTTTTATAACACAGGCTCCCATAAATGCTGACCTCATGATTTTGGCAAATAGTAAGAGCTCTACCTTGGCATTTCTGCAGAAATTAAAACAAGGGGAGAGAACCAGCCCTTGCAGCACACCAGGCACATCCCAAACCTGATCATCTCGGAGCAGCAAGGAAAAGCTGACTCCTCTCAATTACAGCCAATCTCACAGGGAAGCCCGCTCGGAATATCAAAGACACGAAGTCTCGTGGTGCCTTCAGTTTAATCACATGCTGCAGTTCACTGCAGAGATGGGCTGTGCTCAAAGTCACTGTGACCTTGTCATTAGCAGCGCAATGTGGATGCAAACAGAGCAATTATCAGTCGCAGAGAAGAGCACAAAGCAGGCTGGGAAAGCAGGGGAAACAGGAAGGAGCATTTCCTTGGAAAACACTGGTATTTCAAAGCTTTATTACTCCAGCTCCAAATGAAACTCCAATATTTGAATAATTGTCCCCACAAAAGGGTATTGTGCCCCTGGTGCAGCCTCAGCGCCTGCGGCTTTAATTGGGCGTTTTCCCTGTAAATCCATTGGAAAAATTGGGCTGAACCACGTAAGAAAAATAAACACTTGCAGAAAACAGGGTAACCAGGCTGTCCCTTCCCCACCACACTCACCACAGCCAGGAACTTGCCCACATAGAAATAAACTCCGTAGTGGAAGGCAAAGAGGCTCCCAATCATCAGGATGAGGATGGAGAAGAACAGAGGGAGGTCGACGATGGCTTGGCCAGTCCAGTAAGCAGAGGGATAGAGCCCTGCAATCTTCAGCTGTGTGTAGGCCTTGATCTGCAGCAGGAGAAAAAAAACACAGTGTTAATTACACAGTAATTAAAATCAGCGCCATGTTAATCTGCCCTGGTGTTACGCGGTTATTGCCAATTTTAGCTTTTCCCAAACCCGCTCCAGCTGAGGCAGCAAACAGCCATACCATCCATGCTGCCTCTCAGGGCACTATTTTCAACACCTCTGCAAGGTTTTTCCCTGAAATCCCAAGATTTTTAACTCCTTGTGCATCTCTGGCTCAGCGCCTGGGAGTCACCTTATGGTTTTCCGCATTGTCCATGGCAAAATAGGGCGGCATTCCAGTGATGATGATCCCCAGCAACACAGCTTCAAAGTAGATCTCCAGCCTGAAGATCGTGTCTGGAAGGTTCTGAAACATAACCCAGAGTTCTTCAATGCCAGAATGTGCAGGTTTCTGGGGGGTTTCTGCACTCTCCCTCTCACTCCAGGGATGCTTCGCTGCCCACCCCGTGTTTCGGGGTGACTTTTGGGATGCTGCTCACCTGAATGAAGGGGTTGCTCCAGATCTGGATGCTCTCAGTCACGTTTAGGCTGCGCAGCAGGAGATTGCTGACAATATTCATCAACACTGGCAGGGAGTGCACCATGGTGCTGTTGAATACGATGGTGAAAACATAATTCTGGGAAGAAAAGTACGTGCTGTATTAATTCTTCTGCACGAAGAGCAATTCCCTGAGAGGGCTCTCCTTAATTAAAGCTGAGCATTGGGGGGGAAAAAAAAAAAAATCTTTGCATAATTGAGTCTGCTTTGCAAGAAGCCCTGGGCTGCTCACAGTGGTTGTAACACACAGCCTAATTCAGGAAAACAGTCATGTTCACAGAGAAGAAGTTATTTGGAATAAATTCCCAGCATGTTTTATGGAACAGTGACACTGTGACAAATGACACTCCAGACAATTACAGCCTGAAAGACAAAACCCACGAGGACCCCGCACTCGGATGTTCTCGCTAATGGATTTAAAAAGCAGGCAGGCAAAAATTTACAGGAGCTGAGGGGCTGCACTGGCACAGCAGATGTGAGCAGTGTCAATGAGTAAAACGGGAACAAGAGCCAGAGCTGGCAGACTGCAAAGCAGTTCCTTTGCTGGGGGATTAAATACAACCCCAAAGTTCACATCTTCCCGACAGCCCTTCGGTGACCATACGGAAAAGAACACGTAAGATCCAAGAAACTCATTTTTCTTTACACATGAGAGCACCATGGAATTGTACTTCTGTCAGATTGTGTAATTCAGACAGTATAAGGAAAAAAAAAAGATAAAAAATTCCTATGTCAGGTCTCTTGTGGAATAAAACATTTTTCTTGGTTTTTTGTGTCCTTTTGGGGAAGAAAGGAGGATGAAAGTTTGATTGGCCTATTATAATAATAATTATGGAATAACATTTATTTTTCTAATTATTTCCACTCTGTTAATACAAGTCCTCTTTTCAGGCCTTTTGCATAAGGAATACTGTGTACTATTGCTTGATTCTCTGACTCAGAAGTTGCTTTCCAGGTAAGAGTATCACCAACCAGCTGCCTGGGGGGCTCTTCAGGGGACACAACCCAGCCAGCCTGTCCATCTCACCTGTCTGGATTCAAGGGCTTGCACGTTTAAAGCTGCACTGTGAGGTGCAGCTGAGACATAATCACTGTCATTGAACATCTCCCAGAGGATGTTCATGCTCCCAAGGGAGTGGACAATGTCATCGATATCCGATTCTGGTGAAGAGCAGAGAAAACACAGAATCACTTATATTGGAAAAGAGCTTTAATATCAACGAGTCCAACCATTAATCCAGCACTGCCAAGCCCACCACTAAACCATGTCCCTGAGTGCCACATCCCCATGACTTTGAAATCCCTCCTTATCAACAGCTTGCAGCATTTTACACAAAATTACTGATGCATTTTCTCACTGATATAACCCCATGACAGATCCCTGTTTCCTTTCACTCATGCCCACCAGAGAGTCCCTCTGCTATTCTGAACAACACAAAGTATTTTATTTTGGTTTCCCACTCAACAGCCTCCAAAGAATTCAGGAAAAATTTTTTTGTTATATTCTCCAGTAAGTCTGTGCAAGTCAAATGCAGCAGTGAGGGAGCAGAGCTGCCAACAAGCATTATCAGGATATTCAAGGTTTGAGTTGAACAGCAAATTAGCTAAAAAAAAAACCAACCAAACAAAAAAAAACAACAGAAAACCAGCAACACTTTGACATGGTGTGCAGAGAAAATAAGTTGTATTAAGCACAAAATCCCAACAGCTGAAAAAGATGCTCCTTTCCACTGCCTGGATTACTGCTGTGCACTTTTAAAACATCCTAAGTCGAAACAAAAAGCAAATTTTCCAAAATACTTTATAGCAGGACTTCAGTGTTGATGTATCTAAACATCCCTGGCCAGTTCCTTCACGTGGATCATCCTCTGACACAGCAAGAAAAAGGCTACTGGGCATGGGAGGAGGAGGAAGATCCCCAAAGCAAACCCAATAGCACAAAGGATATTCACTCTTTATCATCTCTGGGTACTTCAAAACTGTTCATCTGGGTTAATTGCCAGGAAAATTTTGTCCCCAATCCCAAAAGCAGCTACACTAAAGAGAGAGGTGGAGACAGGAGCTGCTCCCCTACCTGTGGAGTTCTGCAGCAGGAGCCGACTCCTGTACTTGTGATAGTTCTCTCCAGGCTTCAGCAAGTACAAATCTGGGGAAAGTTTGATAGCAGCTACAGAATTTTTGATGATGTGGTGTATGAAAAACAATAAAATCTGAACGACAAGAAATATCAGAAAAAGCAACAACCTGAAAAGAAATAAAAAGTTTGGGGTTTATTAAAATCCAGCGAAAGGCAGCCCAGTTTATGTGCATGTTAATAAAACATCTCCCTCACCCCCCAAAAAAGAATGTCTTCAACAAAAATAATAGCTTCCCACTTACATTTAAAAAACCAGTAAGCACGTGAAAAAAGATTAATCAAATCCTGCCCTTTCCACCCAAATCTCTGGTGCCATTCAAACAGGTCTTAAGAGTTGGGCATCCCAGTACTTACATAACTCTCACACATTTATTTTCCCTCTTCAGGGTAAGGAAATGCACTTTGGCTATGGTGGAAACCTGCTTCTTCCACAGGGCTGTGTTGCTCATGGCTGGTGCCTTTGTCTCCGACAGCATCAGCAGGCTCTGCTCCATGTCATCCAGGGATTTGTTATCCATCTCCTCCTGCACTTGCTGGGAGTGGAACACGCTGTAATCTGGAAAAGGGGAGAGCAGAACTCTCCAGAGTCGATGCTCTCACAGAGCTACAGGGTGGACATGGGAGAGGTGGAGGAGCCAGGTGGTCCTTCCTACTGAAGAACTCATCCCATCCCAACCTCTCAACCCCAAGGCCACTGACACTGATCCAGGCGCCTGTATTACTCAGCACCAGCATATTCAGCTGTTAAATCCTCTCTCACTCACATAAACTTTGTGGAGCAGGGTTGTAATTCTACTTAACTTACTAAATTTACATACCAGTATACTACAAACACCCTACAGAGTATATATAGTTACTTACACTAGTAAGTCTGTATGACACAGAAAGCTTTAGAACTATTAAAATGGCTTAAGCCATTCAAATTTTACACCAAAAAAAAGAATTTATTAATTCTGGAATAACATCAAGCTTATTCTACTTATCATTTGAATTGAAAGTTAATTTCAAAGGAGGGGAAGTGAGACAAGTTGAGCTGTTTCAGCCTCAAGTGCAGCCACTAATGTTGCAGAAAGTTGGAAATTAATTTCGTGCTGTGCATTTATAAATTCTTGAAAACAGAGTCCATTAGGAAAATAAAGGACATTTTAAAAAGCAAGTCATTAAATGTGTGACTGTAAAGCAGAGGAGTCAGATGTAAGTGTGCTGGATGAAAAATTAATAATAAGTAGAAAGCTTTTTTTCCCCTGGATCCTCCCAGAACCACCTCCCACCCAATTCACTGCTTTTTCCTGGGTTTCATGTTAAATATTTCAACAGCCTGGAGCATTATGAGGCCAAAAGAGCCCCACGTGCTGGATGCAGCACCTTGGGAGAGTTGTTGTTACTCCCACCTCCTTCTGGCAGTGACAATTCCACACTAACTGCAACTAAATCAAACATGAGGGAAAAGAAGAAAACATCCCTGGTCCACCCCACCTGCTTGGTCGATCTCTGCCTCAACTTCCAGCTTCAGGTAGACATCCTCCAGCGTGGTCATGGACACGCCGTAGGTGATAACACCCAGGTGGGAGTGGGTATCCAGGTCAGAAAACAAGCCTGGGGACAGACATGACATGTAACTACCCTGCAACTGTGCTCCACCACCTCCTGAGAGAGACTCAAGCACATCAGACACATCCCTAAAGCCTTGGAAAAAGCACTGACACAGAAATATCAGTGTTTAAAGACGAAGACGTGGGTCATGGCTTGAGAATCGAGGTTGGTTCTGAAGGTTGGTTCTCCCCTCTTTCAGCCTGAACTTCAATCTCTGGGGTCAGGGAAATGTGGCAGGTTTTCCTGAAGCTGTGGTGTTGATGAAAACCACCTCAGCATCCTAAAGCTCCTGGGCAGCTTCAGGAGCCCCTGTCCTGGTAGCATCACACACAGGGTCTGCAGGGTAGGTCATCCTACCTGAATCCCTGCCCAGGCACAAAGGGATTTTACAAATAAAACCACGGAGTAATTTTTTATCTGTATAAAGTACATACTTTTATGCATGTAAGAAGAACTCCCAGATGTGTAAAAGAAGGTTAACTGGGCAGGAGATCCTGGACAGGCAGGACGAGGTTCAGAGAGAGCACTAATTAATACCCGTGCATGAGAAATGCTTTTGGGTTCTTTGGTGAGTGAAATAAAGCACTTAAAAAGAGGAGCTTAGAGCCAAGGTCAGGCTGAAGGGAAATGCAAATGCATAAAATGGGAAGAGCAGCTGGATCCCTGATGCTACTGCTCCAATCTCTGCAATTTCTTCTGCCCCACTGACCAAGGCATGTTCCCAACCTTGGCTTCTCCTTGCAACAGTTTGGGGGGAATTGATTCCATCTTACATAAAAGGTGCCTGTTTTCAAAAAGTACACGATGTGGCTGCTAAAGGCAAATCTAATAAATTATTAACTGAAATGCAGCAGGGAAAAAAAAAAAAACACTTATGAAATATCAGCTGCATATTCCCATCAGTATCGATTCTCCCTTCCCTTTCCACATGGCACAGAGGACACACTGTTTATTCCATTTATTTCTGGGAGGTGAACAAGGAGCTCTGCACAGGGCTGATCAGATAATTGCTGCCATCTAGTGAAATCCTCACATCTCCTCCACGCTCCCTCTCATCACTGAATTTTCAAGGCAGTGACACAGGCAGCGTTACTGGCTCAGGGGTTATCAGTTTACTGACTTCACAGATTGCTTTTGTTTGTTATGATGCTCTTTGCAGCTCACACAAAGGTGGCTGATTTTTTTGTAGGATTTGGGGCTTTCTGAATATTCCCACTGGAGGCCAGCCTGGCTTATTAAAAACCTCTGCAACAAGATGATGGTTGGGTGAAAGGGTCTCTTCACCACAGAGGGATCACCCCAGCATTTGCTGTCAGGCACCCACATCCCTCTGACACCCCACAGCCCCCTTGGAGGAGGCAACAAGGTCCTCACTCACCTGAGAAAGACCTCATTGACTCACCATCAGCCAAATAATACCACATATAAGACAAGATAAATGCAGAATTGACACTTTACCAAGAGGTGCAGCTACAGCCATGCCTGATGGATTTCCCCTCTGCAGCACAAAAAAACCCATCAATACCTGCAAATTTGTCCATGTCCTTGAGAGGGAGGGTGTACACGAGCTGCTCATCGTTCTGCTGGATCAGGGTGGCTGCAGGGATGTGCTGCCTGATCAGAGAGGTTGTGGCTTCCGTGTTGCAATAGGCATCGATGTGCATGCTGAAAACACAGCACCAGAAACTGGGGGGTTCAAAGCTTGACCTTCTCCTGACACCGCACCACAACTATCAGCCAGCAGAGCACCACAGTCACCAATTTCATCACTCAATTTTATCATTCAGGATGATAAAAGGATTTTCTTTAGGGGGGGGGCAGAGAGTGCTACCTTAGAGATTTGCAACAGAATAAAAAAAAAAAAAAAAACACAACAACCTGATGGCACGGAAATACCACAAAACACTTACCTCAAGCGGTAGCCAATGCCCCACTTGCTTTTGAGAAAGAGAGAAGACCCGAGGCACTTCAACATCCCTTGAGAAATCACGGCTTTGCGATCTGGAAACAGAAGTCAAGACAGGCCCCTTTGAAGCGGAAGATCGAGAACTTCCTCCAAAGCTCAGTGACACATTTCAAACACGTGTGCATTCCGTGGTTTGGCACCCCAGGGAGGCAGAGCATCTCACCAGCCAGGATATCTGCCTCGTCCATGAAGTGGGTGCTGAACACGGTCACACCGTTGGCTTTCCTGTTCCTCAGGAGGTTCCAGACGATGTGACGCGAGCACGGATCCATCCCGGCCGTGGGCTCGTCCAGCAGCAGAACCTTGGTGCAAAACCAGGAGTGCTTTCAAAGCCACAGCCACGGGCACTGACCTCAGGAATCCCTACAGATCCAGGGGGTTTTGTTTGAAGCCTGTCAGTTATTCCTCTAAAATATATAAGGAACATTCCCAGACTAAGCAATGCAGCTGCTGCCATTGCACTTTGAATAAATCCATCTCCTGTTGTGACAAATGGAAAAATCCTATAATAACTTAATGCCAGAGTCTGTTTTATTCTGGTTCTAACACAATTACATATTAGAATTAACAATTTAGCTGTGGGTTCACTTTTTCTCCTAAGGGGTGGTTAAATACACACACCTGCTTTTAAAACCCCCGGGAACTGTCACACACATCATTTTTAAACACAGATCTCAAAGCACTCCCCCTTCTCACAGGCCAGAAATTACAGAGCTGTAACACAAAAGAGCTCTCTGGCTCCATTCCTGCTCCTGGATGGCTTTGTGAGGAAAGTATCCAACAATTTGACCGTTGGGGGCTGAATGTTGCCTGCCAGAAATTACAGAAAACTTGTCACACTCTTTATTTCCCAAAGACATCAAATCCAGAGTTACTGCCATTACCTGAGCCTTTAACAGCCTCAAGCACAAAGGCTGAGTCATTAAAGTGATTTTAATTAAGCCATAAAGGAAGGAAAAAATAAAAAATAAAGGAGCAACAGATGCTGAAAGTAACAGTTGCTACATCTTATATGTTATTATATGTATTAATTGGTTTAGACAAGAGACCATCAATGTATCAGTGATGCCAAGATGGGAAGAGCTCCATCACTCTCACCTTGGGGTTCCCAAGAACAGCAATTCCCACTGACAGCCTCCTCTTCTGCCCCCCACTTAGTTTTTTAGCTTGATTGTCTCTGATGGGCTGCATCTCCAAATCCAACAACACCTTCTGCACCTTGAAAACACAATAAACACATTTACTGCTTAAAAAAAACCCAAAACTGTTTTTAACAGTTTATCTTTGCCAAAATACCTGTCTGTACCTCTTTGTCTACTGCACCACAAAGTAATATTTCCCTGCAAACTTGTCTAAAAGGATATTTTCATCTACAGGTTAGAAGTGAACACGTAAGGCAATACCTGTGCCCAGGTGACTTACTTCCTGAATCAAATCATTCTGAGGGATCCCCTTAATGGCAGCAAACAGGGAGAGATTCTCCTCCACAGTTAAAATATCGAAGTGTATGTCAGACTGAGGGCACACCCCCGTTATCTGCCGCACTTCCAGCATCTCGTCGATCTCCGACACTCTGTGCCCGTAGACAGACACAAACCCTAAAACAAGAATTCAAAAAAAATCCAGGAGCGATCAAGGAAGAAGGTCTTTACAGCCAGAGAGCAGGTGAATGTGGATATGAATTGAAAGTGAACTTTGGGAGACCTTACAGGGTCTGAGGGGGGGATTGCACGCAGGCTGGAGAGGGACTTTTCACAAGGGCAGGGAGTGACAGGACAAGGGAAAGACCTTAAGATGAAGGAGGGCAAGGCTAGATTAGATATTAAGAAGAAATTCTTTATTATTATAAGGGTAGTGAAGCACTGGCACAGGTTGTCCAGGGCTTGGAGCACCCTGGTCTAGTGGAAGGTGTCCCTGCCCACGGCAGGGGGGTTGGGACGAGATGGGCTTTAAGGTCCCTGCCAACCCAAACCAGCCCGTGATTCTGTGACTCTATTTCAAACTCTGGTGCATCCTGAAATAACCACAAAGGTCACGAGCTCTGGTTTTGAAAGCAGGGCACCCAAAAGCCCTGAGAACTCACCGTCCGTGGGTGGGCACAGCCCGCAGAGGATGTTCATCAGCGTCGTCTTCCCGGTGCCGCTGTGCCCCAGCAGAGCCGTGATCTGACCCTCGTAGATGTCAAAGGACAAATCTGGTCCCCCAGGGCAGAGGAAGAGGAGGAGATGTCAGGGGTGTGCTCCTGGCACCTGGAGCCAGCTCCCAAGGCAGAGGTAAATTCAAATACTGACATATGGGGTATGCATTCACACTCTGCTGGGGGCACTCCTCACCTCCATGGCCAGGCATGGGATGGGCCCTGCACCCACATCCAAAACCACTCAGGGAAACAAGATGAAAATATCAGGGAGGAGGGGCAGGGAAGATCATATCACTACATGGGCAGAGGAAGAATAACAAGGACGATAACAGCAGGCTTTCCTTAGTGATAAAAGGGATCACTTCTTGGGGTGCTGTTCTAAACAAGATTACTGCCCAAGCTGTGAGAGAAATACACACACAAGCACATCTGGCATTCACGCTCCAAGGTCCCACCCCTCTAAAAGAAACCAAAAAGCCTGAACTGAAACACAAAAGATCACTCAGCAATTCAGCTCTTGCTCCTCTGCATCTGACAAGCAGCTAAAAAAGCTGAAATGTTCTTACTTCTGAGAGCCTCCACAGTTTCCCCCTTTTTCCTGAATGTTTTCTGAACACAGCTGATTCTGAAAGAAGACATGTCATTGTATAAACTGTTTCAGGATCTTTATATGGCATTTTGAATGATCAATTCACTTGGCAACAGGCACGACAAGATGATAAGACTAAACTGGCACCAGACACGTTCAAGACCCATCGAGGCATGTCAAGAGACAGGATGGGTTTTGGAAGCCTGGCTGCCCTGGAAATGAGGATGGGAGCGGGTTATGGGCAAGAAGTGGGAAGGAGAACTGGGTATGAAAGAAAACAAAACCTGTACATGTAAAGATGACAAGATAGTGTGAAAATTCTAGAGAGCTGCTGAAGGGATGATATGGGAGGAGTCCAGGCTGGATGGACTTAATGCAACAATGGCCACAGTGTTCTCCTGTGAACATCAGGATTAAAACTGGACCCTTGAACCCGTGGCAGGTGCCCAAAGAGACATGGATGGTGTGGACAACACAAGACTCGTTCTGGTCACTGAGCTCAAATATTCATTTGAGACTAGTGGAGCCAAGCAGGAGTGAAGATGCAGAGCTCCCCATCTCCCATCAGGCTATGCCATTGGAAAATGATGGAAACAAGGAGGACATTGAAAATAACATCTGAGAAACACCACAAAGCACATGACAGTCCAGATGCGAGACAGCAGGTGACACACAGCACAGCACGAAAGATGAGAGTGGGGACATCTATTTCTTCTCAGTTTCCTTCTACTCTCTTGTCTGTGGCAGCTGGGTAAAACCACCAAGAAGTTCCCCTCTGGTCTATGGAGAACACCAAAACCTTCACACAAACCTAGAATTCGGCTTTTTGTCCTAAAAATCCGCATTACCAGAAACTTAAACCCTCCCAGCAGAGCAGACGCTCCAACATCTGCAACCGCTTACGCCGCCCGTGGCCTGAGCAAAACTGAGGGAATGGAAAACCAGGCGGGCTGGAGAGGACTCCAACCAAAGGCAAACCATCCACCAGCAAACCTCCTCTTTAAGCCCAGTGGTTTATCCTTGGAGAGCATCCACTGATGGGAATTCACTGGGAGGGAGCCACGCCGGGCTCTCTGCAATGCATACCATATGCTATTTGAATCCAGCGGGGGTAGAACTACGAGGGGATTTTCCAAATCCCACATTAAAAAAAAAAAAAAAATAATAAAAATTCCCAGGGAACCCAGGCGACCTGCTCATCTGCTGTGGGGCGGGGCAGGGGCTGTACCTGATGGCTTCCTTCCCCTGGAATTCCGAAGGCATGGGCTCCACGATCTCGCTGAAGCTCAAGCTGCCGTTGACGCTGCTCTCGTACAGCTCCCTGTAATTCTTCCTGTGCTTGGACCAGAACGAGGGTTTCATGAAGAAAAACGGGGCACGGCGCAGCCCGAACTCCCCTGGAGGGAACACAGGGAAAACCCACAGCCTCTGATCAGATATTCCACAGCTCCTGGGTTTCAGCTCTCCCGTGAGAGGTCCACGAGCCCCACCCTGCGCCTCTGTTCCAGAGGGATTTCTTCAGCCCACCTCAACCACCTGCACTTGCTGCTGGCAGGCTCCAGGACTGCCAGGAGTTTAAACATATATAGTGCAAATCTCCTTCTGTGCAGGAGAAATCCCCAGGGCTGAAAAAAATCGGTGACTTAAAACACAGTAACACAAATCCAGAGGGATCAGAGGCGAATGGAGCCAAGGGGCTTAACCAGGACTGAGTGGTAAGATTAACAACTTTATTCTGTGTTTCATGTTAAACCGCTTCTGTCACAGGGAAAGGTCTGGAACAGGCAGAGGGGTCTTTGATTTTCAACCCTCAAAGAGCAAATTTTAAAGGCCAAAGCATTCATTAGCCCAGTAAGGAAGGTTTTCCTCTAGAAAGAGGGAAAAATTTCGCTTTTTAGGTCCGAAACCCCTCCTCACACCTCACGGTTTTAACAGAAAATAAATTATTTCAGCTAAAAGTATTCTGAGAAACAGCATAAAAATCTATCTGCAAATCGCCTCCTTTCTCCACAGATGAATTTAAGGGGGAGATGCCACCAGCAGGAATTGGTTCAGCTCTTGGGAACATACCTGGGATAACCTGGTCAAGGTACACAGCTACAAGCAGGTAAAAGATGCTGTCCAGCACCAACAGAATAAGAGAGATACAGAGCGGGTAAGGACCGTCATTTATATTTGCAAATGTTGCCCCATCTTCATAATCTTCCAGATGCATGACCTGCACAAGGAGAGGGAGATGTTACACACCAGCACTGGGCCAGCCTGAAAGACACGACAGCACAGTGCAAAAACCTGGCAAAAGAAACACAAATAACGAGAAAGTGACTGAGATCACAGCAACAAACACCGAGAATAACAGCACCTTGACGGTGCTTGACATTTAATTCCATGGGGAAGTTATTAAAATTGGCATTTCCCCCCACCATCATCAGTTTGTTAGAAATAAAATAAATATTTAAGATTATCTCCATCAATTCTATTTGAAAATGATCCAAGACAAAGGGGTGATGAGGAGCTGGTGGTTCTTTACCTGCGCGACGCCGATCAAGAAGCTGCACTGACACAAAGGGCTGAGAAACCACACGAAAGATTTGGGGAAATCCTCCAGCAGGACAATATTAAGGCCCACAAACCCAAAAGCCAGCGTGGCCAAGAACTCCACTATCCCCACGTGCTTTGACTTTTTAAACAGAGGTGTCAGCATAAGGGCGAAGAAAACCTGAGGGCAAAATAAAAAAAAAAAACAAACAGAGAGGAAGGTGCTGTTTTAAGAATAATAATACAGGTATAGGAAAACTAAGGTAAAATGCCATTTTGCCTCTGATAATCATATGGTTTTCCTGGTATAGTGATGACAGCATTCACCCACATAGAATCATGGAATAATTTTGTGTGGAAAAGAGCTTTCAGGCCATCGAGTCCAACTGCTTCCCCAGCACTGCCAAGGCTGCCACTGAAGCATGTCCTCAAGTGCCACACCTGTGTGGCTTTTATATCCCTCCAGAAAAACAGAAGGGACAGAACTCCCAGAGGTGCCAGGAGACAGAGCACAGAAAACAATTGTGGCTCCTAATTCTTCTTTTATAGAGCTGAGTGTGCACCTCCACCCTGGCGAGTGTCCCTTCTGCCAGTGACAGCAAACAAATACCTACTCGGGCACTGGCTGCTTATAAACTCAGACAGGAAATCTGCCAGCTATTTATAATACATTCTAATATAATTCTCTGAGCTTTAATTAGGGTTTTAGCATTACACTATATAGTAACAACAAATGTTTTGAGGAGGACGTGGGTTTGGACTGCTAAATGGTTCTGTACAGTGTTTTCAGCTCAAAGACTGATTATTATAAACCCAGATATTTCAGTAGGGAAATGTCTTTCCCATAGCGATGGGTGACACCTGAGGAACATCCTGAACTGGAGAAGAACCAAGGAAGGGGATGGGACAGGTCAGACACCCAGCACTGTTTGGCCCCACAGAAGCAAAGCTTGTCCCAAATGCTTCAGGAGAGAGAACGAGATCAGGTGGGAAGGGAATAAAACCCACAGGGATGGGATGGCTGAGTTTAACAAGACCAGGAATACTTACTGAGGAGACTCCATACAGGAAAAAAAGGAGAAATATCACAAAGGCACTGCTCTGAGGAAAGAGGGAAGAGGCCGTGGCGATCACTGCCATGAGAATGGACATGACAAAAATCAGACTCACGTAGAGCAGCACCCAGGAAAGCCTAGGAACAAAAAAGGGGGAAAGAACAGAAACCAGGCAGTGAATCCCCAGCCTGGAGCGGCCACACAAACAGCTAAAACCACCATTCTTTAATATTCCAGACAGCTGCACCAAAGGCCAAGCTTGGAACAAAACAAGAGCCCCCAGATAAAAGAGCTCTTGTAAACACCCCTGGAATTGTACTCAGCACTAGAGTACACACAGATACCCACAGCAGCTAAAGACACACAATTAGATGATTCACTATTATATTTTCTTTTTTTAAACTTGCATAATTAATTCCCTGGTATAACCAAAAGAGAGTAACAGAGTCGTAGGTTTCAATAATTCAAGAAATTCTATTTAAAATTTAATCCACTAGTCATTCCAGTCGCTGGGCAGGGTAATAAAATCCTTTTCTTCTGAAAAGCTGAGCCTGTGAGCAACTCTGACCTCAGGAAACAAGGGTGGTTTGTGAACAGGTAGTAAAAAAAATGACACATTTCCTCAGAAGTAGAGAAAAAAAAAATCATTCCAGCAAGCCCAGGTGGCTGTTTCGGTGCAGTGGGGACAGATGTGAAAACGCTGCAGGAAAGGGCAAAGCCAAACCTGGTTTTATCTCTTCAGCTATCAGTGATTTCAAATTAGCACATCCTCTCATTTGGGGGAAAAAATAAAACGTTGTATTGCACAGGACAATTTCCATCACGGTAAGGAAACATTAAAACCTGTTGCTACGACTACTCTGTCGTGTTAAAATTATAGAGTTGGATTAATTTAATTATGTGGCAGGGAAACTGCTGCTGAGCTCTGAACAGACTGCAGGTTACCTGTTGGGCCCCTAGGAAAGGAGGTACCAAGCCAAAAATATTTAAAGAGAATGAAAAACCTACATAAAAACCTCACACATCATCAGATTTAATCCCTCTGAGTCTGGCACAGCTTTACATGCATAAATGCAACAGTATTACTCTGGTGTTTACTTACTAAAATATTCATATTTTCGTAATACTGCAAGTGTCTGTATGTTTGATTTTACAGAATATTTCCCTTGTTGGTTGTTTTCAGTTAATCAGACTGAAAACAATTTAAAAAATGAAGAATGGAATAGAAGAGTTTTCCTAGAAAGTGTTTCTCTTCAAGCAATTCTTTTTATAAACATATACAATTATTTTATAAAGAACAAGTTACGCTAAACACTCACATACCAGAAGGCAGTGTCGTGGAGTCCCAGTATTTTCAGGAATTCCTTCAACTTCCTCTCCTTCTCTGCCACAATATGAATTGCCAAATAATACCCAAACGGGGAGAAGGCAATCACCAGGTAAATTAAAATGATTGCACGGGGGAAATTATCTATTTCCACCACAGCAGCCTCTCCCATAACCACTGCTCTCGTCAGCTCAAGCTGCTCCCAAACCGACTGATTCGTCTTCAGCTGAGGGGAAGAGAAGAAAGAATCATTTTGGGATTGCTCCTGATTTTTCAGCCCCATCCCAGGCTCCACCTCAGCTCCACCTCCCTCCCCGCTGGCAGGGAGGGACCTGAAGACCCCAAATCCCAATCCAAAAGCAGGGAAACTGGAGAACATCTGAACACCTGGAGGCATAATCAGCAAATGGCCCTTAAAGGGATGACATTTGCTCTCACCATGAGCGGGATGAGGGGAGGGGTATTGGGAAAAACTGCTGATCAATACTGACACCAAAATGAGGCAAATTCCGCAGCCCTTTTGGTGCAGCACCCAAAACGGCATTTTGGGGTGAGCACCGTGAGCCTCTGTGTTCTGAGCACTGTTGTGATGGGTGTTTGGATGCAGTTTGAGACAAACATCCACATCATCCACCCCAACAAGAACAACCCTGCACCAAATACAGCAAAGCAGAGCCAAAAACATTCTGCCTTCTCATCAGGGTCGAGATGGCTTCTGCTATGGCCTTTCCCACGCTTGGCAGCCAACATCAGACAAGCAGCCAGAGCCAAGGCAGCCCATGGAGCTGAAGTTCCCCGGGTTTAAGATGGGTTTTTTCCAGAGTTACCTGTATAATGGCAGCATCAATACAGGCCTGGAGCGCCGTGAATCCCGAGCTCCAGTAGGTCACGGACTCACAGCCCTTCCGCAGGTTGGAGCAGCTGGCTGCAGAATAAAGCAGGGAATGAGGATCCATAAAGTCCCCCTCAGCCCAGGCAGCTCTAAGACTCCCTGTTTCTGTGTTAAAATGTCAAAAGCCAGAGTTACCCCTGCCCTGTCCCCAAGGCGCAGCTCGAGGCCACCCCTGACAGTGCCGGAAACAACCTCCATAAATCAATATATGCCACATCAGACAAAAAAAAAAAAAAAAAAAAAAAAAAAAAAAAAAAAAAAAAAAAAAAAAAAAAAAAAAAAAAAAAAAAAAAAAAAACAACCAACCCAAAACAGAAAACAATTTTCCAGTTTCTCCCCTTGCAGAGCACACGTGAGAGAGCTCCCATTTACCTCTGGATTCCATATAAATGGAGGACATGGCGATGGAGTCGTGGAACCTCAGCTGGTAGGACATGGAATCCTTGAACACGACCCCCACGAAGTTGGAGGGTTTGAGAGCGCTGGCCTCTTGCAGCTCCTCCTCACTCAAATACTCCTCAGTGATGATGCCTGAGGGATATTATCATGTTGATTTAGGTATTGGCACAGCAGGGAGGAAAAAAAAAAAGTGCAACAGTTTTTAAAGTGTTGTGTTAATCATTAATCATTTGAGTTTGGAGATATATGATGTATCACTTGACAGGGGGGAATGGCTTCAAACTGACAGGGAGCAGGTTTAGATTAGATTTTAGGAAGAAATTCTTCCCTGTGAGGGTCTTGAGGCCCTGGCACAGGTTGCCCAGAGAAGCTGCAGATGCTCCATCCCTGGAAGTGTCCAAGGCCAGGTTCCTCTGAAGCAGGAGGAACACAGAGAGGAGAATCAAAGATATCAAACTCAAAATACATCAGTGGGTTTGGAGAGGTAAGTCCCTGCTACATGTGTGAGGTGAGCAGGTAGGGCACTGGAGAAAAAATGAAATAATAATTAGAAGAAAAAAAAATAGGAGGAAAAAAAAAAGCAAGGAGGAAAACCTAAACAAATGGAAAAACACAGACAAATTAAAAACCCAAACAAATAGAAAAATCCAAACAAATGAGGAAATTAAACAAAACCCAGGAAAACCAAACAAATGGAAGAAAAATAATAAACATGAGAACCCAAACAAGTGTGAAGAAAACCAAACAGAAGGAAAAAAACCAGGAAAAAACAAATGGGAAAAAAAAAACAATCAGGGGGAAAAAAACAGCAAAAAAAAAGGAAAACTGCTTTCAAGAGGAGAGGTGACAAAGTGCTAATGAGAATAAGCATCTAAAAAAAAAATTTAAAATGCTGTTTTCATGGTGACACCAGGACAGAAAACACAACCTAGGACAGCACCACCCCCTGAGTTTGCCCCAGGGTGTCACAGGACAGGTGTCAATCAGCCCTTGAGCTGCTCGGGGGCTTTCTGTACCCAAACCTTTCCCTGCAGTCACACAACACTTTGGCTGCACCAGGAGAACGGGAATCACTTCGAGATGGCAGTGCCAGAACATTTGTCACCCAAGGAAAAACAAGCAAAAAAAATCCCCCCACCGACGCCTTCACTTGGACGGAAAATAAATGGATTTTTCCTGCTAGCAGCACCCCTGAGCTCCCCCTCTCCAAACACAAGTCATAGAGTGGGACTTGGGGAGAAAAACACACCGTTTAGGGTGTGAATACTATCCTCAAAGTTATCAAAGGCCACTTTCTTCATGATTTCTCGTGCCATCTGGGTGGGTGGCGTGTACCCAACGATGAAGTTCACCAGCTGGGAGGCGTCCAGGGTGCCCAGGTTGGTGTTGGCCACCTCGTCGTACTTCCTGTGTGGGTGCATCATGCTCATCAGGATGAGCCAAAACAGGAAAAACAGAGGGAAAAGGACCTCCTGGACAAAGGAAAAAAAAAAAAAAAAAGAGCATTTCAAAGAGCAGTCGGGGAAGTAAAACCTTCCTCAGGTTTCTCTTACACGGAGCTCAAAGGAGGGACTGACTGTGAGCTCAGTTACTTGACTGGGAAATTCCCTGGATGTTTTCAATGCAACAGCAATTTTAATGCCAAATCCTGCCCTGGCGCTGAAGCAGGATTTTAATCGCCTGCATTAGTAACCTAAGAAGCCATTCGAAGGCCCAAAGGGATCATTCTACAAGCTTTAAACATCTGCAAATTCGTGCTCTTTGGGAAGTAGCAAAACACAAGCTGTGAACAACTAAACAAGCCCAGCCAAGCACTGCACTGTCTCTTCTCCTCCTCAAAATTCATCCTGAAGTACCATCACATCACCCCCACACAGGGCTGAACTGTTTATTTTTTCTGTGAAGAGCCTTACACATTAGGATACATCTTCAACCGAAGGATCACAAAGCATCTTTTGGAGAAGCCCCAGAATTCAATGCAGACCATGAAGCCTCATAAACATCACAATAAAACCCAGTGTTGTCTCTGATTTGGGAATTATTTAAGCACAGAGTAACCGTGAAGGCATCAGCAGCAGGACCCAAGGACTCCCCCCTTACCTGGACACTGCTTTTCTTAGTCCTACCCTTAATAAGACAGTTCTTGAACAGGAGAGCTCGGGTTTGTCTCCATACTCCTGCTTCTCTGGGAGCAGCTGGTGCCATTTTTCAAGACTGGTTTAGGAAAAACAAACAAATCAATATTAAGTGACAACACAATTTAAAAATCCAAAGCCAGGCGGTCGCAGCTTTCAGCGTCTCCTATTTTTTACATTTTCGTAGAAATGTTTTATTTTCAGTTTTTTGTACTTTAAATGCCTTCTGATACATAATGTTGGGTGTCTGTTACATGGAGAAACTGGTAATGCTCCTTTAGAGCTCGGGAATCCAGCTGGGAATCCAGGCAGAAGATGCCTCGGGATGCCCCTGAGCCAACCCCTCACCCAAGGGCAGGACCAGCTCTAGGCGAGCTCACTAGACTTGACCTAACCTGGGCTTATTTTTTTCAACATAAACTACAAACCCAAGCATTTCTCTGGGAGCAGAGTTCAAGCATCCGTGGCAGGAGCTGAGGGCATCCAGCCAGGGCGATGCATCCGAGAGCCAGAGCCAGCTCACCCCAGGCAAGCTGTTCAATTTACCGTGAGTAACCCCCTTCCATCCTGGAGCCCATCCAGCACTGCTTATTTCCCTCCCCATTCCATTTTAACCTTTTCATTAGCCCAGCTGCACAGCACAGGAGTGCCCAGGGTAACCTTCTGGAAAGGGGAAAATGCTTAAATCAAATTAAAAATCGAATTAAAAGGGCTTTCCCAGCCTGCACGTACCTGCAGAGGGGCAGCGGGCTGAGGAGCCGGCAGGTTTCTCCCCCCTAGTTTTGCCACCACTTTGCAGCCTCAGGTTTGGAGTTATGGGTCGATCTACATCTCCCTCTGCTTCCTCACCTGTGAATGCTGGAATGTTTCATCTGGGAAGGGGAAACACAACCATGAGCCGCTCGGTAGGGACAGCAGAGCATCAGCACAGCTCCACGGCCACCACCCTTCCCGTCCCACCCACACCCCCCCTTCAGTGAACAACTGAGTCACTCCTCAACACCTCAGCCAAAACTCAGGGCAGGTTCCAGGAATTTATCCATATCCCAGGCTTTGCAGCTACCAGCACTCATTCCAGAGGGGGGATGATGTTCCCGCTGCCTGTGGACTCCAGGCAGTGTTGGAAATGATATCGCTTTTCTAACTTTTCAGTGATCCTAATTAACCTCTCGGTTAGCTGCTTTAATTAATCACAGCTTGTGTGTTCGGCCTTAAATCACTTTTAGCCAGCATAGAGCAAAAAAAGCTCTCACGAGCAACTTCTGTGAGAACACAGCTCGGGAAAAGTACTAAAACTCCAAGTTTTGTTAACCTTGATACGCTTCAATGGACAAAGCCCAGGGAGGGAGAAAGATGTATTGTTGGAATTGGACATTGGGACACGGATTTGTAACCTACAAGGTCTTCTTGCAGAAACCAGAAGGTGAAAGAACTAACGAAGAATTCAGTGTAACTGCTGGAAGCCCCTACTGGAGAAAAAGACACTAAAAAGACTAAAAGTGTGTCCTTAATTAGCACAGAAATTGCAAAATTAGTAACCAATAAAAGGCAGAACACTAACTAATGAAAGAGAATTATGTAATTAAGAACCAATAAATATTAATTTGCTTGCTAAAAACTTATAAATAGTGAAAAAGTGATGCATTGGTGCCTGTGTGGAGGCAGGAGTTTTATTGGCCACGTACACACCCAGCACTGAAAATAAAAACAATGCCTTGCTTTCTAATACTAAAAAGACAGTGCTAGAGATTCTATTTATCCCAACGATTTTGGAGTTATTTGGCAACAGCAGGACCCGGTTTCTGTGTTATCTGTTAGACACCACATGGCTCAAACTTCCCACCCTGGCTGTATTTTAATATGGAAATCTATTTTGGGAGCACAGACAGCATCTCACTAGAGGTTGCTCAGATGTCAGCCCCGCTGAGCTGAGCTGGGAGAACTTCAAACACACGAACACCTTACACACAGACAGCACTGAGAGCCCGTGTCTGAGTGCAGGAGGGAGGAGAGCAGGGAAAAGGGGCTGAAAGGGAATCAAATCCCCCATTCCCAGCTCCTCTGGCTGCGTTTTGGGGTCCTGCAGGGAGCAGTGACCCTGCCAGCAGCACGAGGACCCACGTGGGACACAGCTGCTCGTCACTGAAAGAGAAGCCTTGGGAAGAGGAATTCCACCCCCCCAGCTCGGAGTGCTGCCCTTAAAGTCACACCCAACCTACTTCAAACGTGAAAATAAAATGTAAAAAAATAAAAATAAAAATTGTTTTGCTTCAGAAGAAAATAATGCTTAAGCACCACTCCGTGATAGTAACCAAGTCCTGCAGGAAAAATGAGAACGACTCCTCCGGATATTTTCGAGGAAGGAACGCTTCACACTGGCAGCAGAGTGTTTTAAAAATAATCAAAAGCAGCAGTTATTGCTTACAGGTCATAAAAACCACTGTCCTTCTCCCCCTCTGCTCACAGCATGCCCTCCAAGTGCCTGGACTGCCACTGTTGGCTCTGGGGAACACATTTCAAAAGCAATCAGCCACACTTCTC